TTGTTCTTGAAAAAAATTAAATTTTTTGAAATTTGACGTGGATAATTTTACTAAACGGTGATTTACTTGAGATCCCCTCATTGCCCCATTCTGAAGTATTTATATATTGTTGAGTACACTATAAGCAAAAAAAAATGGAAGAGACCATTTTTTTAATATCATTATCCTTATGTTACAACTATAAAATTTTATGTAAAATATTGTCAAACTACAAGACATGGGGTTTAGCAAGGGACTTAAACGAATAAAATCGAATAAATAGTTTAGAAAATATACAATAGCGGTATTCGATGTTCGATGCGTTTTGTATTGTAAAAGTTTAATCTTGCAAATATTTTGCTAACGATTGTGAGCGGTTTCTTTCTTTGATATTAGCAATGCAATTTAAGCTTTTTAACAGCTGATAGAAGTCAACAATTAATGAAAGTTTTTGTTTGATTTTTTCAATAATCTTTGGAAGAAGTTGCCCAGGAAATAACTTGGACTGAATGTAAGACTTTCGCCTATTTATATGTATGTAGATACCTAACTTTCCATTTATGTATACGGTCTCAACTAACATTAATTTTTTTGTAACAGTTCCGCGGTTTGTAAAAAAACATTTATTTGTTTAAAAAAAGTACTTCTATACTTGGTGCCTCCTCCAAATAATCAAAGAACATTTATATTCCTTCTGTTGGCCACTTTTTGTTTGGTTTTTAATTTATTTGGAATAATTTTTGCCTCTATTGTTTTAGTTTCATTTATTTTGTTGTTTACAATTGACAGCTGTTTTAATGAGAGAATTGCAAACGCAATAACGCACCAAAAAACTATACCATTTAAGTCGAATAAACTAATGAAAATATAATAATTCATTCGCAATATCTTAAGCAGAATGAATCATGGTTGGTTTTATGACAGATCCATTAACTGTATAAACTAACCGCCTTATTCACAAACAACATTTTTATTTTATAAAATGTTTATAAAACAAAATTTCCATACAAAATCTAATTTATAAACCGTTTAGAAAATAAAAATTTTGTTTGTGAATAAGGGGGTAAATATTTACCCGCGTATTCATAAATATACTAATCGTTTATTTTAGGTTTATTACACACATTTTCCATACAAAATCCCTACAATAAATCATCAACAACTTTATTAAGCGTTTATAAATATGGGGGTTAAATATTAGGCAAAACGTAAACATATTTTAGTGAGCTTGTTTAGTGTTAATAAAGTAAATTTTTCCATAAAAGTATTTCAGTTCCTACGCGACCAAGTTGAATATTCCGAAAGTTAATAGCTGAATTAAATTGATTAGGATTAACTGGACCTGTCAGAATCCAAAATCGTCGTTTGTGCTAATAACGACCCTAATACGTTTCGTTGTATATCCGGTAAAACAATCCAAGGGTATAGATCAGCGCCAATAAGGATATCAATAGGTCGGCTATCAAAAGGATTAAAATCCGCCAAATGGAGATTTGGCAATAATTTTTGAATGTCGGCGTTAACGGAAGACGTAGGCAAATTTGTCGATATTTCTGGTAAAAGAAACGCATTCATATTTAGTTCTACGGAAGAATCGAAGTTAGATCCGATTTTCAAAGAACAGACATTTCTTGAAACAAATGATACACTATTATTAATACCAGAAATTTCAACATTCGTAGATAGCGCGGAAATGTTAAACCTTTCCCGTAATCGATCTGTGAGAAACAGTATTAGTATTATTCGACGTGGTCGACGGTTGAGAATTTTGTGACAAGTTAGTGGGTCGTAGAACCGCGTCTGAATTCTGTTTAGTAGAAACAGAAGGCATTTCCGTATGCTGAATATGAAGCATAGAATGGTGCTGATTATTGCAAATAAAACAATTACTATTAACTTTACAACTGCTGATATTATGTGTCCTCGAAAGGCAATTAGAACAGCAGTTATATTTGTTTAAGGTAAGGTCGTGAAGACATTGCAATGTTTGAATTCTTTCCGTCAGAAAGTTGTAAAAATCATGCCAAGTAGACAACACTGATTTGTCCTTTACACCCTGTTCCCATAAAATCACTGTAGATTTAGGAAGACGCTGAATACATATGAAAATGATAATTGGGTCCCAATTATCAGTGGGCAATTTATATATAGAAAGAGCCGTAAGGCAACTATTAACTCCTCGTTATATAGTTTTAAGGGCTGTTATTGATTCCTTGTCAAAGGAAGGAAGCCCAAACAGAAGTTTGAGTTTATAATGTACCAACATACGAGTATTTTCATATGTTTCTTTCAAATCGCGCCAGGCCAAGTCAAAACTTTCATTAATTAAGGGATATTTAGATGCGATATCTTTGGCTTCACCCTCGGTTTTAAGTATTAAATGGCAAAGTCGTTCTATGCTATTTATATAAAATTGCCGTAAATAAATCTCTAAAGGTTGGCCAAGAAACATAATCTCCACTGAATGTGTCTACATCACAAGGGGGTAGAGTCAGATTGTGTTCTGAATAACCGGAATTCAAATTTACCGTTGAAGAATCAATATTCTTCGAATCATGTTTTAATTTGCTCATTTTCTGATTAATAGAACCTAAACATTGAAAATAAGCCATATATGTGGTCTGATATTTAGACGCTGCCACATATACATCACTTGATTCACTGGGGGGAAGTATAGTTGTTCTAACTTCCTCACACAATCGTCTTATTTCCTCGCCCTGTATCTCTATGGTAAAACCGTTAAGAATTTTCTCACCTAAATCATTAAACATCGCGCCGAAAGTAACAAGAGCATCCGATGCTTTAATAAATTCGTTTAGCGGCGTAACAGACATGTTTAATATTCAAAAAAATTAATAAAATGTAAGGAAATTAAAAATCAGAACTAATTCACGACAAAAATATTATAATTAGTTTTAAATGTCAATCAACAAACGTGACAATAGCTAATTAACCGTATATGTATTTTGTTTTTATATATTTATAGATGTAAATCTGTAAACAAATGAAGCACAAAAGAAAATATAAAACACTAATTTATTAAAAATAAAAAATAACTTTAATTTATTGTCAGTCGGAGCAAAAAAGAAAGTAAAATTTCAAAAAAATTTATTAAAGGATAGATTGCACTGTAATAAATATTAAAAGTAAAAATGAAGAAAAAAAATACAAAAAGAACTTTGTGTATGTGGGCGCGTTAAAACAACTTAATTGTTTCGTTGAAATAAATATTAAGTATATTACCAGTGAACTGTATTGTTGAGAATGATGGACTTTAAAAGATGACAACAAATCCAGTACTCAATTCAGAAATCCGGTTCGCTAGGACCAATTGTTTGGCATCAATCCAATTTGTCCAAGTTTTTATGAAAATAAAACAAAAAAAAAAATTTTTCAAAGTTTTATGAGACGTAGATCTCTTTTTATTTAAAAACAAAATATTACCTCGTAGAAGGTTTGTAGGTTTTTGTGTAAAGATAAGTGCACGTAGTGCTTGTCGTAGACAACATCAATATCTTAAGACTGTGTAAAACGAACAAGCTTAATTTGGTAGCAAACTATATTTATGTACCGTTAACGGTTTACTCGGTAGAATCTTACAGCAAAGATGTATAAAATTGGCATTAGATTCTAATGTTGTTAAAAATAGTATTATTCATTAAAAGGAGCAATTACCAAAATGCAGCTCGCAACAAACTCGCTTAAACGTGGAGGTACCACGCCCCCTAATTCTAGTCCGCAAATTTTTCCCCAAAATGTTCACGTAGTTTCCCAGTTAAACGATTTTTTGTATTTAATTCATATACATAAGAGGTGCACCGCCCCCTATTGCTAGTCCGATCATTTTTTGTCCTAAGTACTCATGTTGTTACTAAAGTGGCTCCGAAAAATTTAGAGTACTATAGCTGATATATTTTCTCAGATAAAATAATTTAAGGTTTTCTTTTTTGGGTTCAATATTGTCTATACAATATTTTAGGACTCTAGCTGTTGCTAGACTTTTATATATTTATTGTATGTGTTTTTTTTTTGTGGCTTTTTGCCCATTTGAAATTTTAAAATAATAAGTAGCCTATAGTTCCTTCCAGATATATAGGAAGGCCCTTTGAACATTTCAGGAAAATCGGTCCAGCCGTTAAGTAGCCTATAATGTCCAAACATACATACATACAAACACACATTAATTTTTATATAAAAAACTCACGTTTTTTGGAATTTTTAAGAATTTAATGTAGATATGTCTTATACAGTCAAACTCGCTTATAACGAACTCGGTTATAACGAATTCTTGGTTATTACGAACAAGTTTTCAAGTTCAGTATAAAACGAACTACTTTTTCAGTCCCTCAAGTACAATTTCATACAATTTTCTTTTTTTATAATGAACTTCAAAATTATGTGTTGAAATCATAAGGATATATTTTGCTTTGTTGAAAAAAAAAAAAAAAAAAAACTTAAATTTGTTAAGAAAAATATGAACAAATAAAATCAATGGTGTTTTTTTTTTGTAAAGAATATTAATAAATTTAATCATATTTTTAAAATTTCGTAAAATGCCACTTTATTTTTGGAACTATAAAAACTTCACCTATTTTATTACGAACTTCGCTTATAACGAACAAATTTAACTGGTCCCGCGGAGTTCGTTATAAACGAGTTTGACTGTATGTGTTATTGACTATGAGTTTACAAAAATTAAAGAAATCTGAAGACCATCGGTCAATTCTTAATTTCTCATGGAATTCATGATATATAAATAACTTTTTTACATAACTTTGTTCGGTGATTTATGATATTTTTAAATATTAAAATCTAGAGAAAATTATATTTTCAATTATATCAATCACTTGTATCAAGCCAGTGGTTGATTTATCGATTGCGAAATAATGAAAAAATTTTTCATAGTTAGATGGTCGTAAACTCGTATAAGAAATCAGAACATATACTTTCATAGGTTTCATATTACGTTGTGTTACAAAAGGAATGACAAAATCAATATATCCCCCATTTTTTGTCAAAAAATAAAATTGTTTATTAATAATAAAATTTATTACTTTAATAAGTTAAACTTCAGCAGCGAAAACATTTAATTTTCAAACTGTTTTCAATATCTAAGCTAGAGTTAAAAAGTTGTGTACAATCTGCTCTATTATTTTTTGAATATTATTTTCCAAAAATTTTATATTTACAGTACAAACATAATTTTATTTATCTAAAATAAAAATAAGCATTTAATCCTAGTGTTATACGCTACAGATATACATTTATATTTAACAAATTATTTTAGAAAGTTGTATTAAAATTACAAATGTAACTAATGTAACTAAATTTTTCATTTGTAATATATAAATTGTACATGTTGTAAAAAAGGTGATTTTTTATACTAAAAATCAAAACTAATGTTATATAATAGTACGTGTTGTAAAACAATTTAACAGTTCAATTTTTTATTTTAATATTAATTATCACTGTATTCTTCATCTTCGTCTGATGAGACCATCTTACGTTTCTTGCGCTTACTTCGATGAGATTGTTTGCGTATTGTTGATGTTTTTGAAGAAGTAATTGTTTTTGAGTTTCGTGTTGAAGGTGTAGTTGGAATATCCTGAAATAAGAGAACGTAGTTTGTTAATATACATATATACTTTGTTAAATCATTCAATTAACATTTACATGTACTAACAGCACATGTATTAAAAGCACACAGTCCTTTAAAAAGCACACAGGATCACGAAATGAAAAACTAACAACGCAGTTATTCTCCATTAAATTTATAGTTCCAGACGTATATCATCTGGTTGATGTCTAACGATTTTTTTCTTTTTTTGTTGGACTGTGTTATAAGAGGCGTATAAATTTAAAAAAAAAATCCAAAAAATCTGAAACGGACTATAAACCAAATGCCAAACTATTTTTTAAATATTTTTCTTTTCAGGATTTTCAATCGCTTGTAGGGAACTGAGGACAATTTTTTTTTCTCGTGTTGAGTATATTAACACGCATCGATTGAGTGGTATTCCTACATAAAATTCTTAATAAGTCTGTTCCTCGGGGCACTCTAATATACATAATATATTACATTAATCATATCATTAAAAATCTTAAAAAATTTACAGACTATTTTTGTAAAACATTTAAGTTTTCATATGAACTTTTAATTTAATAACAAGTAAGCATGTCTAAATTTTGATTTCTATAAAGTATTTAAAACAGAGTAGGTATACATTAAGGCTCAAAAAAAAAGAAATAAATATGTTTTAATAATATAAAAAATATACCCAGCAAAAAAGAACTTCCAAAGAAGAAACTACTCTTTGGAAGTACTGAAAAGACCTGAAGGGGGGATGCCCTTTTATTTGATTCCACATTCACTACTTCTGAAGTCATTCTCAAGAAGTAATTTTTATGTTCTTTTTTTTGTAAGTTATTTAGAAGTGAAATTGTATTATTATAGAATATAACTAATTTGACTTAAATAATATTAACATAAATAAAGGAATAACATACATTTAACATTAAACCTATTTTGGGATTTTATGTTAATTTTTTAACTAAAAAATGTTGATACAAAAAAATATTCCATCAGTTTTGAAAAAAAAAAAAATAGAATTATTTTCGCTCCATTGGAAGTAGGGTTGCCAGAATCCGATTCGCAAGAAGCTGGACATCGGGGTTTAAAAAGCGGGACAAAACAAAAAAAGCTAGACATACAAAAATACCGAGAAAATGTTAATTTTGGTTTTGTGTAAATAATTTCACAGTGATACACCAAAAAATGCAGGGGTTCTCATATACCAATTCCGTTTTGTTATAGTCCATATAGTACGAATATATTTTTAGTTTTCCCCGATCTCTTCGTTAACTTAGTTTTTAAGAGCAAAAGATGTGAAAAAGCTCCATTTTTGAAGTTTTAAATTTTAAAAATCATAAGTACGTAAGCCGTACGTAAAGAAATTGACTATCGCTCGCAATAATATGTCTTTTCGCGTACTTTCCTGTAAGAAATATCCAGTAACTTTATGATAGAGAGTAATTTTTAATTTACTAATTTTTAATTTAATTTACAAGTTTTTGTTTATAAACAAAGATTAGTAATGCCCTTTTGCTGAAATCTCAAAAAAAAAACTAATAATTGAAACTTTGATTCTTCCTATAAATAAATGGATACTTAAAGTTAACAAAATATGTAGTATCATTAAAAATATATTATTGTTTTAAAACTTTATGATACAAACATTTTATTAAAATAAAAATTTACACAAAATCGCTAAGAGAAAGACAAACTAAATTGTTTTAAAAATGCTAGATTGACAATATTTGTTATGATTTTTCACAACAAATAAACTCTTTTAAAAACTAATTTATGATAAATAAAATTAAAATAAATTTAATTACAAATAATTTTTTAATATTCGTGTGTTATTAATTTATATATTTTTTTCAAAAAATTTAAAATTTACCAAATTTTCGATTTCTTTGGTTTGTTTACATATTCATAAAACAATCATATGTTGTGAATATAAGTTCGATATTTTTTACTGGGGAAAAAATATCCAGTAAAATCAAAAAATTCTCTATCAACGAACTGTAATTTTTATCGCTCGAACGCGAACGGAATCCAGTAACAATTGATGCAAATTGTTACAAACGGTAGAAGAGGGAAATCATAACTTAGTTGTATAACAAATGTACAATCAGTGTTGGCTAACATGATTTGACAAAGATAACATAAAAATTATTGCAGTGTGCTAAAAAAAATCTATTTAGCTGGACAAATTAAATTTTAGCTTGAAACTGGACAAGCATCAAAAAAGCTGGACAATCCAGCCAAGTCCAGCCAGGCAGGCAACCCTAATTGGAAGTCATTAAAATTCACTTCATTAGATGCTAAACAAATTCAGTTAGTGCTACTTTTGAAGTGTTCATAAATGTGATTCTTTTGGAAATACTTCGAATGTTTTCCCAGGTAAACAACAATTTGACCCTCTAACATGGGTCACTTTTTGGCTGATTTAACTCTATCATGAATACGGGACACCGATTTTTTTTAATTCTTCTCGATTTAGAGCGTAACTTTGAGTTCACAGCTAGAGTAAATGGTTATTTTCAAAGAAAAATTTGTTATTTTTTAGAATTTGATGTCACTACACGCTAAAAGGATAATAATACCTACGATATCCTTCGAAAAGACTTTTTCCATTTTTCATCAAAAATGATATCCATAAGAAGTCCAGCGGTTTAGTTTTGTGCGTGAAAAGGTTAAAGACCAACGGCTGTATTTATAAAAACTTGTTTTAGGTTTATTAAACAATTTTAGGTAAAATTCGGGAAAATCGTATTTATAAACGTCAAACCAATGACAAATATAAACATTTTATTGTTGGCTCGACCCTTCTTTAAGCCAACAATAAGTTGATTTTAAAAAAATTTTTCTCAGATAAAACTTTTTTTCGGTAATTTTAGGTTGATAGCGAAAACTAATTATGTTTTTTTTAAATAAAATCTAAAAATTCAAATTTTAACGTTTAAAAATTTGAAAATAAAGCAAGTAAGAAAGCATAGTGGCGTGGCCGACCATTAGAGATGGGGGTAGTGCACTAAATATTTAGTTAAATCAATATTTCACTAGCACTAAATAATATTTCAAAAAATATATTTTTCACTAATTTTCATCAGCTTAGTGGTAGTGAAGCTTATATTTTTAGCACTAATATTTTTTAGTGATAATTTTATTTTTTTAACTATAACTCAATTGAGTGATAGTGTAGAAAAAAGCACTACACTCTAATTTGAAATAGTCACTAACAAAAGTCTGCAATAATTTTCTTTGCACTCATTTTTTATTAAAATGGAAAATACAGATTTTGATAGCGATGACACCATATAAGCAGCTACTCAAAAAACATTTCATGCTTTAAAAAAATGAAACACCTGAATTCCAAAACTGTTCCAGTAGAACGATTATTTTCTTTTAACGGAATGGTGGACTCTCCTCGGAGAAATAAATTAATAGGACAATTATGTATCTCGATTGCCACTTCAGCTGCGTTGCCAGTTGCTAAAATGATGTGGTTACTGGATGTTTTTATTAAGCAATAGCTTGGAAACTTTGTAAATAATGAAAGTTGTATTCATTGACTTGAATGAATTCATGACTTGAACCATTTCTAGACTGACCTATTAACTTAAACTTTCAATTTAGTGAAACATTTCTCCTTTGAAAAAAATAGTGCAGGAATATTTTTTGAACTAATAATTTAGTGTAGAAAAGAATATTTCACTAGGCTGTAAAAACAAATATTTTAACTATTTTTAAAATATTTTTATACCCCATTTACACATACACGAAATCTAGTAGATTTCATTTAAAATCTTTTTCCAAATCTAGTCCGTTTACACTTACTATTCTTGACATTTAAGAAGATTTCATTTTTTCTAATATTTCTTGAAAAAGTGTGAGATATGAAAAATAAGAAGGAAAAATGGGATATTTATCAAAATTCCATTTAAAATAAAAAAAATAGATATTTAAATATAACATTACCTTTTATTTTAGATTAACTTTTCATTCATGTTTTTCAATTTATAAAAATTTTGTCGACATTTTAATTTTTTTTTTTTGTTTGTTTTGTTTTCCTCTTTTTTCTTGTGTAGTGTCGTATTTTTTAGTATTATTTAGGAAAAAACTGAGTTGCATCACTAAAAACTATTAGATTTTGAGTAGATTTTAACGAAATCTAGTTACGAAGTAGATTTTGTTTTGTATGGGAAATCTAGTTAAAATCAAGTAGATTTGCTCGAAATCTCATAAGTACTAGATTTCGTGTATGTGTAAATGGGGTATTAGTTAAAAATTTTAATATCACTATTGTTGAGTGAGGCTTATATTTTTCAATTCATCACTAAACATAAATAAAAGTAGTGAATAATTTTGAACTACCACTAATTATTAGTGATAGTTAAAAATTAGTGCACTACCCCCACCTCTGCCACCATATGATACCCTACACCAGTTATGAATATTACATGTGATTTATTTTACTTAATAAAGCATTTATCTTGAATATTACCTTGATTCCGATTTATTTAAGCAATTTATTGACTAACAACTAATTTCCTAGAAGGGGCTTTATATGGAAGATAGGACCAAATGTGGACCGATCCCGATAAAATGGGCTGAATAGATTTGTATTTATATAATATTTCTCTGTGATAAATTTCAGTGCAATAACAGTGTTAATAAATGAACTGCGGATATTCAAGTCACTTTCTGAAGGGGGCTAGGGTCAAATGAAGTCCGATCATTTCGGCAAGGTCATCTAGGCTTGTATAAACCTTAGTTGTGCGAACTATCGTTGAGATACATTTATATTATACATAATTATGAGCTCAAAAGCCCTTTTCCGGGGGTTCAGTTGTATGAGGGCTAGGTGAAATAATTTTTTAATTTTTATCGATTTTAACCATATTCAAAACAAACATGTATTCCAAATTTCATCAAATTATATTGAAAATTACGACCTGTACTTTGATAACAACGTTTACATGAACATACAGAAGGTCGGACTGACGGACGGACATCGTTAAATCGACTCAGAAAGTGAT